TAAATACTTTTTTGCCCCACTGTGTATATATATATATATATATATATAAATAAATAAATAATTTTATACAACAAGACCAGTGACTTTCAATAAGAAAGTTGGTAGGGTTGTCGTGTTAAAAGACTAATTGAAGAGTTCAGATGCAAAAGCCTCTAAGTGCCGTCTGAAATGTTCATCTAAAATGTCCTTCTAATGTTTTTATCAGGCTCCTATATTTATGTTCAGTTATTTCACTATAATGGCACAGCAAATTTGCCATTAAAGTAAATTACTGAACCTAAACATAGGAGCCTGATAAAAACATTAGAAGGACATTTCAGATGGCACTTAGAGGCTTTTGCATCTGAACTCTTCAATTAGTAAAGTAAATACTAAAAAAGTAAATGCTTCTTTCATACTTATAATCTTATATTACTTATATTCTTTCATACTTATATTTCATACTTATACTTAACATAATCACAGTCACTTCAAAACTCCAGACTGGCAAATAACGACATAAATAACAGCTAATTCTGAACCTACAGTATATCCCTCTTTACATGATTTTCTGTTTTGACAGCAAAAACGTATATCTTACTCATATCAAGAAGAGGAAACATTTTTCTTTTCATCCAGTTACATCCTTCTGGTATGTGTGGGTCTGCATTGGGCCTCACCGTAAGCAAAACCAGTTCAGTAAAGCACTCAAAACATTAGCTCAAAATATCCAGCGGTTCCATATTTAAACCGCTGGAATGTATTTGGGTATAACTGTCTATAAAACACCTCAGCCCATTTTAAATGATGGATCCATTGCTCACCGACTGATCTGTTCTGTAATATGTCACAATGAATTTCATCCAGTAAAACTCAAACATAAACATGTACTTGCAAACATGTGCTTTTAAGATCTGGATTCAGTGTGATTTATGGTGGAGTTTATTCTAGAGTGTGTAAATCAAGCGGTGGCAGTGGTGGGTAGTTTTATTTTTATTTTAATAAAAAAATGCTTTCTGCTAGTTATCAAAACAGTTAAAATGTTTAAATGGTTTGCACCCATGATAACAGAAATAGCCCTATATATCTTCAGTAAACATGGTAACTAATTTTTTTAATCTTTACAGCATGAAATGTGAGTTGCTGGCAGTGAGAATCAGGCAAATGAAAAATGAAGAGTGTTGCAGTTTGAAACTAATGATGGCTTTTTTCTGACGGCACAACGGTCTGTCAATAACAGCCAATTAAAAATCAGCACAACATATTGCTGTATATTTTATAATGGTGCATTTGCAACGTATATCTAATCAATAATAATATTGCATATAATTAATTAATAATAGTTATATACAGTATAATTGTTGTATATGATCATTAATATCATTAATACCATTAATATAAAAGAAAAAATACAAATGTTATTATTGTTTTTATTGTCTGTATTTTTTATAATTGCATATTAATATAATTTCATATCAAGTTATAAATAACTCTGTATATAATTATTAATATAAAAGTAAAAAAGTTATATTAATATTATATACTGTATAATCTGTAATAAATATATTTCATATGAATTAATCATAATATAATATAATTAAACTTATATGTAATCATTAATATAAAAATAAATACATTTGATATAAACTTGTATATAATAGTTTATATATAAAAGTAAAAATATAAATGTTATATTATTATTATTATCTGTAATTTATATTTCTTAATAATTATAATATAATGTTTTTATTGTAACATAACGTATTCAAATACAGTAGCTTTGCATTTTTTCAACCATTTGAAACAATGAGTTCCAGTTGTTCATGATCATTGAACATTGATTTGAAATGATTAATAATAAAAAATTATAAACGTTTGAGATAAAGAGCAATTTCTAGCTGCTGAAATAGGTATATTAAAAAAAAAAAAAAAAGTCAACATTAAAAAAAAAAAAAAATTTTTTCGGGTACATCAACACAGAAATATGTTGAGTTTTGTTAAAGACGTGTGTTAAAATTATATGGAAATTTATCAGACGTGATCACAGATTCCGTGTGGGCTTTGTGAAGTTCCCGTGAAACCATCTGAAGAAACGCTGATCACATGAATAAAGGCATTCTTACTTTCTGTGTTCTCAATGGGAGTTGAGCAGCCACCTCACCACCATGCTTATGTCTGCGGTCACACACTCTCTAACACACACTCCTCTCGTCTAGTCCATGGCTGGCAGGTGAGGAAGACTCAGGCTCAAATGCAGGCCTAGAAACAGAGAGTAAGACAGAAAACGATTAGTGAACAAATCTCACAAACTCCAGTGCCCTATAAACCACAGTAATGTTGTCTGACTTTAGCCACATTATGCAAGCGTGACCCAATATCCCAATGACCCTCTTAAAACACCCCTACATCTCATATTGCTGCTGTTTGCTCAAATATACCCTTACAAACACAGCGCATAAAGTGTAGAGCAACTTTAGTCCATTTTAAACCCTCTGAAACGTAGTTAATAGAAAGTAAAAACACCAAACCTGTGAGTGTTTATGTTAACGCATGAGAAAAGGTTAAATATTGTACATATTTATTTATACATATTTTAAGATTGAAATGAATTTAAATAAATGTTAATAAATTGGTCAAAAAAAGTACAAAATACTTAAGTACTGTTTGAATAAACTGTTTGAATAAATATTATTTGTATATATTATATTACTTACAAATGATATAACATTTATACAGTATTTTTACTTTTAGATTAATGATTATATACAAGTTTAATTATATATTACCATATGTGTGTGTGTGTGTGTGTGTGTGTGTGTTTCTGAACTAGCTATACTTCTGCAGAAATGGCTGATAAGACTGATAAGGTTAAATTAAATGTTCATATTAACGGTTTGTGAGGAAACCACAGGACCAATTCGATTGCAACCTGAATATGATCCATTGTGGCTTAAAGGACTATTTCTTGCAAGCAGTCACAAGGTCAGATCTTGCTCAACTAAATATCATCTGTTTGTCAGTAAAAATCCCCCCTTTGTTTGACTTACGATAGTATTTATTTAGCAGATTTTTTGTTAAATTCCACAAATATGTATCAGTCATTTCAGTTTTTTTTTAATATAATTTAATTTTTTTATTTAGAATTTTGTTGTTGTTGTTGTTAAAAAATATATTTTTAGCCATTTCAGTATTAATTAATAACTATTTATTTATTTATTTGGCAGTTTTAGCTAAATTCCACCGATATTTTTCAACCATTACAGAATTTATTTATTTTAATATTTTTCTTTTTGTTAAATTCCGGATATATTCTTCAGCCATTATTTGTTTAATAAACTGTATATTAATTTATGTAGCTGATATTTTAGTTAAAATCCACTGATATTTTTCAGCCATTTATTTATTTAACAGATTTTTTTGTTAAATATTTTTCAATCATATCAGTGTTTGTTTGTTTATTTATTTTATAGATTGTTATATATATATATATATATATATATATATATTTATATATAATTATTTATTGATATAATTATTATATTATTTATGGATATTTTAATTAAATTGCACATATAATTTTCAGCCATTTATTTATTTAGTTAGCAGATTTTTTTTGTCAAATTTCATTTCATCACCAAAAGTATAACTAGTTTAAATAATAAAACTAATTTGGTTAATATCAATGGTTTCTATGGTTAATAGAAACAAGATGCCATATTAATTTATGGTGGTTTTACAGTAGTATCTGTAAGTCAAGTATTTTTGGAGAAACTATGGTATTTGCGAGATGTGTGTGTGTGTGTGTGTGTGTGTGTGTGTGTGTGTACTGTGAGCGATGAGGTCATTCTACAGACAGTGTGAATCTACGCGGCACAAAAAAATAATATGCATACACAAAACACACTATATTTGATGCCTCAGCAGGCCCAAAGTCTCCCACGGCAGCAGTTTTTACAGCAAGATCTCTTTGAGCTGCTGCTACCTCAAGAAGCAAGAATCACAATGCATAATTCACAGCTATGCATGCTGTACATTTCACTCTCCTCCCCTCGGAACAGCGGCTCGCAGCTCTGACAGAGTCTCATTTCACAGCATTAGACTGGGGAAGAGTGACAGGCAAAGAGATGGACAACTACATTAGCTCAAGGGTCAAAGGTCAGGGCTTTTAGGAAAAGAGGTTGGTAAAAGAAGAAAGCCTGTCAAGGGAACGTCTATCCAATTTAAGACCCTCTATATGTGAATGTATTCCTAAAAACTGACAAAACTATTTTATTAATTTTAACATTTTAACCAGATATGCTGCTTCTTTCCTCTTATTATGCATTATTAAAATCAAATTTCAGACTTTTAAGACTCTTTTTGAGATACCAGTAAAATCTATTGAATCTATTAAATAATGCTCTTAGTCTTTTCCTTTCTGTGATAGGCGACCCAGAGAGAATCCACATAAGTTTATGATGAATTAAAAGCTAGATACAGTTTATTGTGTAGCCAAAATACAAATAATTAGCAGAAAAAAAATAATTATGCACAATGCTGTACATTTAATTTTAAACAAGCTGAAATATGACAGCACTGTTATTTTGAAATGCCTTAGTATTATCAACTACTTATTAAAAAAGATGAGACAAAATATGCACCCTTACAGCTGTCTACTACAACATTTAATTATTTCAATAAAAATAAAAATATTACAATACAATAAACCATAATGTAAACATTGTCATAATATATCAACAGCAGAAGAGTCACAATCACTTGGTATAAATGCACGGTAATCATCGATTGAAGTCTAATAAATCGCATCAAACCATATCATGATCTTTATTTTTCCATTCCCAAATTTAAGACATAAAAAAATAATGACTTTTTTTCTTATGGCTCCTTTAATTATAAAAATAAATAAAAATCAGCTCAAGAAAAATAGAGATAAAGAAAAAAAAGTTAATAATCACATTAATCTGTATCATGATTCCTATTATTCTCCCCCCAGATTGAAGACATTAAAATTATAATTTTTGAAAGACTTTTGCTTTGGCATTTAAGACATTTTAAGACTTTTGAAAGGCAATTGGCTCTATTAATTATTAAAAAAAAATAATCAGCTCAAAAAAAGAAAAAAAAGGAACAAAAAAAAATTCCATATTGTGATTCCTTCCCCAAATTGAATACCTTAATATATACAGTGGTGTAAAAAAGTGTTGGCCCCCCTCTTGTTTTTAAAATTTTTTGCATATTTGTCACACTTAAAAGATTCAGATTATCAAACAAATTTTAATATTACACAAAGATAATGCAAGTAAATACAAAATGCAGTTTTTACATTATTATTTATTTTATTAAGGGAAAAAAGCTGTCCAAACCTGCCTGGCCCTACGTGAAAAAGTAATCGCGCCCTAAATCTAATAACTGGCTGTGCCACGCTTTGCAGCAACAACTGCAATCAAGTGTTTGCGATAACTGGCAATGAGTCTTTCATATCGCTGTGGAGGAATTTTGGCCCACTCTTCTTTGCAGAATTGTTTTAATTCAGCCACATTGGAGGGTTTTCGAGCCTGAATGGACCGTTTAAGCATATCAATTGGATTTAAGTCCGGACTTTGATTTGGCCACTCCAAAACCTTAATTTAGTTTTTCTTGAGCCATTCAGATTTCCCTTAATAAATGAAATCATCATTTAAAAACTGCATTTTGTATTTACTTGCAATATCTTTGTGTAATATTTAAATTTGTTTGATGATCTGAAATATTAAAGTGTGACAAACATGCAAAAAAATAAGAAATCAGGAAGGGGGCCAACACTTATTCACACCACTATATATATATATATATACATACATACATTTATATGTATATGTATATTATATATATGAACATCAGCTAAAAAAAATAAAGAGATTTAACACTGAGAACAAAGGTTTGACAATCTCTATTGTAGTATTTCTAATTCACTGAGCATAACAACTAAAGAAAGGCTTCTGAAGAAAGCTTTTAAAGGTCTAAATTAAGGAAATTAGGAAAAAGTAGCAGATCATACTTTGTTTATTAAATATGATCTCCACCCACACGTGCATTCATAGAAGCACGCATATACACCGAAAACAGGAAACAGTTTGTGTACACATCATGCTGCATTTACCTGAGCGCACAAGGACCCGCAGCCTTGTAATATTCATGAGCCCACGTTAACAAGCTCGAAAACCATTCCCAGTGAAAGAGTGAGCGCGAGAAACAGAAAGACCCTCACTCTCACCTCCACCTACGATCTGAGCTGCTGTAAAACACTTTCCACAGGCACAGCCTCACCTCTGCCACAGTGCTCACAGTCAACAGAGAAGCCGTTGTCACCATCAACAACAGCCACGCACTCATTCATCACATCTCCCTGTTCTCCCGCTGATGATCAACGTTTCCATGGCTAAATTTAACACAGTAACCTTCATAATTGCGCTCAGAGGCTGCTAGGTTTATTTTCAGAGCGTCAGACGTCTGGTAGCAGTGGAAAAATGTGCCATCACACCCAACTGATATGCAAAACAAGTGTGAGAATTATGGGAAGCAATTACTCAGAATTTCGCCACATTAAGTACACTGAGTAAGTGTGTCTGTTGTGTCTGTGTGTGCAATTTTAAAGATATTAAAACACACACAAAAAAACTCAAATACAAATTTAAATGTACATACACATGCATATATTAAATTACATATTAAATGTATAAATTGAAATAATATAATAAATAACTGATAAAATAATCATATATAAATACATTTATGAAAATTCTATAAAATATATTGTAATGACATATGACAATATAATATGATATATATATACACATACATAAACATATACATTATACTATATTTTATGTATACTGTATATGCCATGTATACAAAATATATTACAATAAAATATAATACTTTAAAATATATTATTATTATTATTAAAAATAACAACAACAACAACAATAATAATAATGATAAGAAATTATTATTTAATTTCCATTGTGTTAAAAAGCTGAAATAAAATAAAAACTAAACAATTATTAGGGTACAACGGGGCTAAAGGAACCCCGGGGTAAAAGGCGCCTTTGATATTATTTTCATCTAAACCACTAGATGGCACAAAAACGTGGCGTAGCACTTTCCAAAACATCCGCTTTTCAAGATGCACGTGTATTTTTGTCTGATCTTTGACGAGATCGCGCGCAGCAGCGCAAATTTGATTCTGTGCTTACTTGATCTAATATTTGATGTTTTTT